AAACCACCCACACGCCCACTCTTTGCCCAAGTTTAAATGTTTGCCATCGCATTCTTTCTTTCCTTTCTGCGTTCAGTTTTACTGGACCATTAGGAAAATTTGCATCTTGTGCCTACGCCTACACTGCATGGGCGTGGGACAAGAACCTGTGATATATGGCCGAAGGTTACCGCGCCCATAGATAAATGACACGAATGCAGCATTACCCATATAAAACATATTATTCCCAGTAAATTGAAAGAATAATTGAACATTCATGCTATAACCCACCCACACTACACCGCTGCAGCACAGACCATAGCATAACACATCCAATTATCCATACCATATTATAACGCCATTTCGTATAATTTACAACGTAGCATCCTCAATGATCATACAACCTACCCATACAACCCTAGACCTGTATAAGACCTGCCATCTCCCCCCCCCCATCAATAAAAAAATGCATCCCGCCCACACCACATCGAAGCGCGCCCACATCGCCAAGCATGCAGTCAGGATGATGTGGCTCCCTGGGTGTAATAGGTTTAGCAGGGTCCTCAGACGGGGGGTGAGGAGGGGGGTGTATAGGAAAGGGGAGCAAGGGGAGGGGATAGGAGGGGGGTGATAAGGTGAGGGCGGAAAACCTCTGTTTACCTGCGTCTTTTAAACACCTGTAACACCTGAAATAACCCCCGAACAGTTGCGTTCAGTAAGAGCACACATGCGTTGCTTTCCTTTGCGTTCAATAGACGTGTTTTATTTGGAATCCATGAGGCTACGAGGCTGTTTCCGCCAGGAGACAAGGGGACACATGGACTCGTGTTTTAGCAGACGGATTGTGAGACGGACGTGAATCCATGAAAGTGTGTCGTGTGGCAACAGTTCACTGTCAAATGAAGATAAGCATTAACTGCCCTAAGAGGAAATCTACATAAAAAACGGTATAAAAAGATATGAGGAAATACAGAGATAAAATAATCTAACCCACACACGTATGCATATACTCATGCAAGCACGCGCGCGCGCACACACATACACACATACATACACAGATAGACACAAATGCTCCCCACGGACAAATGCACGCACTCATACACACACACACATATAAATATATATATAATATATATATAATATATATATTATATATATATATATACATATATATAATATATACATATATATAATATATATATACATATACATATATATATATATATATATATATATATATATATATAATATATATATTGATATATATATATATATAGTATATATATATATATATATATATATATATATATATATATATACGCACATAATGACAACAGGCAGGTATACAGTAGCTTCCATGAATCAGGCGGCTAATTAGCAGAAACAAACGTGGGCTAATTGGTTTTTACAACTGTGTATCACAACTATCGCTCTGAACAGTTAAAGGTCGCTGTATTTTCTATTATCTTGGTGTGATAAGCATATATGCGTAAATTAATACATATACGATACATATTGTATACATAGATAACTATGATATATATAATATATATATATAATATAATACATATATACATATATATATATATATATATATATATATATATATATAATATATATAATGTGTGTGTGTGTGTGTGTGTGTGTGTGTGTGTGTGTGTGTGTGTGTGTGTGTGTGTGTGTGTGTGTGTGTGTGTGTGTGTGTGTGTGTGTGTGCGTGCGTGCGTGCGTGCGTGCGTGCGTGCGTGCGTGCGTGTGTGTGTGTATGTGTGTGTTGTGTGTATGTGTGTGTGTGTGTGTGTGTGTGTGTGTGTGTGTGTGTGTGTGTGTGTGTGTGTGTGTGTGTGTGTGTGTGTGTGTGTGTGTGTGTGTGTGTGTGTTGCTTCTGCCCTTGTCTCCCTGTCTGTCTCTGTCTCTCCCTCTTTGTCTCTCCTTTTCACTATCTGTCCGTTTGTCTGTCTGCCTGTCTATCTTTCTATCTCTTTTTTTTCTCTCTCTCTCTTTTTCTTTGTCTCTGTCTCTCTTTCTCTCTTTTCTTTCTGTATCTGTCTCTCTCTCTTTCTTTCTCTTATCTGTCTGACTGCCTGTCTCTATCTCTCTTTTTCTGTCTGTCTGTCTCTCTCTCTCTCTCTCCCGTCTCTTTCCCCTCTGTCTACTCTCACCTACCCTCTCCCCCCTCTCTCTCTCCTCTCCCCCCCTCTCATTCTCCTTCTCCCTCTCCTTCCCTCTCTGCGCTCTCTCTCCCGTCCCTGCTCTCCCCCTCCTCTCGTCTT